CGTTGCCTTCGGAAGCCCATAAGAAGAGAGGAGGCAGGCTTCGGACAGGCCACAGAGAGGCCGCAAGAGGCCTGCCGGCTGCCGAGAAGCTTCGGACAAGCCACAGAGAGGCCGCAAGAGGCCGAAAAGCTTTTGAAGGCGGTCCAAAATGCCTAAACGTCGCCTTCGGAAGCTGATAAGAAGAGAGGAGGCAGGCTTCGGACAGGCCACAGAGAGGCCGCAACAGGTGAGGCCTCGGACAGGCCTTTGGAAGTGCTTGGAAGGGTTCTGCTAGGCTTGGCCAACTGCTGCATCCTGCGCCTTTGGAAGTGCTTGAAGGGTTCTGCTAGGCTTGGCCAACTGCTTCACCCTGCGGTGTCCCAGGCGCCTCCCCGCCTAGGCTTTGGCTATAGGCCGGGGTCGGCGGATTCTAACTCTCTGGCAAGAGACCTTTACCCAAACAGTGTTCGGTAGAATAAAAGCAGTGCGTACAACGGAATGGAGCAGCGATTTTTTTCCGCGCGCATGGCCGGCGCTGAGGCTGCAGGTGTCATAGCTTTGCTGTCCATGCACCGGTATGAGAGCACACATGTGAGAGCAAACAAACACATGAGAGCACGAATATGAGGAAGCAAACATGTGAGAGCATAAACAAGAGAGATAAAATTTCAGACTTAGGTCACCATGTTCACTGAAGCCTTTAAGCTCTCGGCGGCTCGCTGGCCATCGTCGCAGCGCCACCATATGCTGTGTCAGCTTTCGACCTTGGCCGACTCAAGTCCACTCTTTTGAGAAACAGCTCCCATCACTTCCCATCTGTTCACAGCTCAGTTTCACATCTGTTTTCAGTTTCACATGTCCATTCTCCAAACTCTGTTCATCTGAGAACAACACTTTTGCGGATTGCTTTCGAAGGTGGACTGCGAGGACTCAGCAGCCGGAGCGGCAGCTCCTGCATATGAGACCTGGATCTGAAAGTTTTCGTGACTTTGTCGCAACAAAATGTCTTTGAAATCTTTGTCCAACTTCCCTTGCCAAATGTCCCAAAATGCTTTCTAAGCAGTATTGCCTGCGCTGAGCTCTGCTTCGGCTGTGACTCGAAAACAGACTGCTCGGACTTAGATGTGACGCAGTTTGAAAGGAAACACTGCCGGAAAATGCTGGAAAAAGAAACAGAAAATGAAAGAAGGGAAAGCATAAGGCATAGCTGCGATGTCCAATTCTGCTTCTGCGAGCTGAGAGCAGCGCAGCCACGCCCGTTGCAGTGCTGGAAGCTGTTGTATCCGCCTCCGAACTCACAGGTGTTGGACTTACGATCTTGCATGCAGCTGGCCCAGCTCCCATTCACAGGCTTCGACTTCAAAAAACAGTTGGCTTCTTGAGATTCCTTCCGTGGGTTCTCTCATGCGTACTTCATAAACGAAGAGATCCGCGCTCTTACGAAAAGGACTGAAGAGAAGCAAATCAGCCTAGAGCAGCTCTTGTCGCTGCTTTTTCATGCTTTTTCTATCTTTTTCTCTCTGCATCTGGCGAAACCAAGGTCCTTACCTTGATTTACGGAAAATCACCCGTACGAAAGGAGCAAGAACTTGCCAAGCAGAAAGGAGCGTTCTAGAAGGTTTCGCCGGTTTCGCCACTGAAGTCTTCGGAGAACTTGTCCAATCCACACGGCCCCTTCCATGCTTCATCGGCAGGATGGAGGCAGGCTAGTGCCTGAAAACTTAAACTGGAAAGCGGGCCCTGCATGGCCCTGCCCAAAGCTGTAGTTCAAACTTTGCAGCTATCGAGCCCTCGTGACGGAGCTGTAGCTGAACAGAAGCTCAGTGCTGCTCCATGCTGCTTGCTATGCTATAGTCACTTTTTCACTCAGGGATTTCCATCTCAGACTCCGCTTCCTCTGACTCTGCTGAAGCTTCCTGGTGTGTTGGATTCTGCTTACACAAGGCTCAGGTCTAGGATGCCTGGCACATCAACTGAGATGCGAGCGGCAATGTGCCGGCTTGCGAGGCCAAACGCACGTTCTGCCTCTAGCTGACTCTCGACGGACAGGAAAGCCTTGCCGCATCCGAGCAAAATGAAGAAAACTTTCGGGCATCAATGTTTTTGAGTCTGTCTTTAGGCCTTGAAACTGACCTCATCCTCCGTCATTCCCTCAACCTCGGCTAAAACACGGGACATTGCCTTCAAACTATTGGTTTGAATGCATAAGGAACAGGCTGCCACAGGGATGGCCTTGCAGTGTGTTTACAGCGTTCAGTCCGACACCCTCGACTGCTTCCGCGGCAAAGAGATTGGAGCTGAGACCAAGGCAATTTTGCCCTTGACTAGTCTCACGTTTGGACCATAATCACATCCACCTGTGCCTCAGGATTCATCAAGGCATCTGTGCCCACCAGCGTTCGTGTCTAATCTTGCACACCTGATCCGTCCTGAGCTACAGGCACTTGCCCCATTCAACCCTTGGGGCTGGCCAACCTGCCTCAGGGGCAAAAGTATCCCAGCTTACAGCAAAAGAGAGAGCTCGCGAATTCCAAGATTGCAGTTGAGAAACCTCAGCAGCATTTCTCGCTGTCTGTTGGAGGGCTCCAAGCGGGTTGTAGCCGTTTCCAGCATTGCGGCTAACCTCAGCATGGAGCTTGTGGAATTTGAGAAGAAAGAGCGAAAGCCTCCTGCTGAGGCAAAGGCACACTTCTCGCAAACTCGCAAGGCAAATTGAGGGGGTTGTGCATTGGCTGCTGGAAGCCTAACCAACGTGCATGGGCGTTGGCTCTCTTGTTTGGGCAGGCTGTAGCTCTGACTCCTCTAGAGTCAGTTCTTTTCGAGTTCGTGTGCCTCTCCCTGAAAGTGAAAATTGCCGCTGCGAGAAGGGCAAGCACCTCAGGTAAGATTTTATAATTGTGGATTGCATGGCATATTGCAAAGGCACAATTGGCATCGTTGGCATGTCAATTCGCAGTGCAGCAGAGTTGCAAGCTGCCTTTTCAGCGAGAACCTGCTGTTTCAAATGTTTGTCTTCCAGTCTAATGGAAAGGAACCTGTTGCTAAACCCTCATGCCGCATGCCTGCAGAAGCCGGTTGCCATGTCTGAGCCTTGGAGCCTTGGTTGCTTGGACATCACACCAGCAGTCCCTTTGTCGGAATACCTCACGTTGATTGCATGTCCCACAAGAACAAGCAATCATAAACGGTTTCGAGGTGCTTCGGGTTTGCATCAAAAGGACATGTGACATGTGGATTTGCACAACTCAGGTCACCACAGCTCTACACGGCCGAAAGGCTAAATGCTAAATACGCTGAGCCAAGAATCGGGCAAAAGATATTGGATGCAAATCTCAAAACAAGGCAATTCCTGCTCATCGGGAGACGAAATCAAGAACCCGAAAATGAGAGGCTGCCCAGTGCCTTGCTTTGTTGAGGCTTGCTCTCAAACACGGACTCCTGCTGCGAGTTCTCCCTGACAAACAAGCAAGGGAATTCTTGGTCATCTGAGCACAGAAAGTTACCAAAAATAAACTCTATAAAGCATCTAAGTCCTAGACACAGTAGCACCACTGGGACAATCTGCGGCACTTGCTCTAGGCTGGCTCTCAAAGGTCGATGGGACACTGCCACTGTCAACGCTGACCTGCGCATCCATCCAGGTAGTTGATTCTACGAGATTCCATATGCCATATTCTATGTCCAGGACAGTCACACAAGAAATGAAAGCAGCTCGCATTTGGGCTGACATGCGCCCAACGAATGCTTGTTCATTGAAACAAGGATTCCCAGCATCGTTGGGCTGTCAAATCAATCTGTCGAGTGGGTCAGCTGTACAGCAAAACATGTGCTACGCTCCCAACCTAAATTGGGGCAGCAAATTAATCCAGAGGAACCAGCCGCAGCTACAAGCTGTTGGCTTGGAACTCGGAACCGCTGCACAATGGAAACTTCAATGGCAAGCTATAAAGTTGAGGTAGGAGGAAATCAGGTTCCCACCAACTCCTGCACTGCTTGCCAAGGACAAAAAGAGAAGCCTCTGGCACTGCCACAGACCTGTCAGCAAATGGCAACAGGTCTGTTTCGTGTGGTACAAGAAAAAATAAGGCAAACAAGAATGTCTGTATAATTTTGGATCCCTAGCAATGTATGTTACAAAAAATTGAGTACCCATCGAGTTGACCTGCACAAAAGCCCCCCAGCCCAAGAGGTTTCGCGCCTTTGCAGTCATTCAAACGTCACTGCAGAGTGCAATTCCTTGTGAAAGAGTCCTTCAAAAAGGGTTATTAGCCGTGAAAACATCAACTTCAAACAAGGACGACATCACTGATCTTGCTCACGTTACTTCTGCCACGAGGCCTCATCTGCCAGGAGCTTCTATGCGTAGCACCTCGGGAAGTATAAGATGTCGTTTGCCCTACATCATTTCTTGTCCTTTCCTTGGCCTTTGGAACTTTCTTTAGTTCCTTCCTTGCTGGCTTCCTTGCTTGCTTGTTTCCCTACTTGCTTGCTTCCTTGCTTGCTTCCTTCCTTGCTTGCGTCTTTGCTTCCTTCCATCGTCCGTGCGTCTGTCCTTCCTTCCTTCCTTCCTTCCTTCCTTCCTTGCTTGCTTGCTTGCTTGCTTGCTTGC